GCATATATAAATTACCTATTATAAATTTATAATCAGTAAAAACTAAAATTTCATCTGACTTTAATCTTTAAGAAAATAAAACTGAAATATTTAAAGGTCTTCCATGTTTTCATAATAAGATTAATAGAAAATGAAATTAAAATGATATAATGAGTACCTGTTACTTCTCCCATTTTTTTCAAATATTTTACCTACGGAAAAAGGCTTTATTAGATTAATAATTTTAACTTCATACTTTTAATTTCACAAAACAAATTAATCTAAGAATATTAAAAAAAGCAAATATGAAGTTTTAGCTTATTTTTTTAAAACAAGAAAATAAAACTGTTTAGATTTGTTAAACTAATTAAAAAAAATGTCTAAATTAAATTAAAAACTTAATCATATAAAGCTCACAACTCTGACAAATTTATGCTGCACAATAAATTACATAAAATTAAATGTGCATCAATAAGTTTTAATAAAAATGGTTTCGTTTTGGAAAAACTCACTCAAGTTTTCCAAACACTGGAAATAGCACATGTGAAATGCAAAACGGAATTTTAAATAATACATCACAACAAAATAATGAACCAAAGAAAATTCAAAATTAGGTTTTATAATAAATACTAAGTTAAAGTTTGACATACACATACATATATCATAATTAAGGGGTGCACAACCTATGTCATGCGGCCCGTCGACTGTTGATATGCAGCCAACAGAAATTTCTGAAAGCAGTAAAAATTTATTTTAATTTGGTTGTTGTTTAAACATTATAAATTCTCTTTTATTAATTTATTTCATTCAAATTTATATCACTCTATAAAATACATATTTTTTTCTTTGCACTTTCATACTGGTAGCTTCTTTTTGGTTAAAATTTATATCACACCTCCCAATATTTAGGTACATATGTATATATATTGATAAATGAATTATTGTGAAAAATGGAAAAAGTGTATCAGTGTTTTTAGTTTTAAATAAATTCAAATAATTAAAGGCATTTAATTTTCTGCAAATATTTTATTAAGTTTACTGATATCTGGTGCTTAGAACACAAATATTTAGATAAAAATCATCATATTTGTTGTTAACATGACTAAATATGCATGCAGCACTTCGCGACTCCACTTGCTGTGCAAGTGGCCCTTCACTCAAAAAAATTTTACACCCAATCATAAATGATTAAGTATTTATGTATTAGAAACAAAATCATAACAAAGAAATGTGGAGTGGAAAATCCTAAAAAATATAGTTAAGATTAAAATCAATGAATATGAAGTACTCACCTTATTCGAATCTCTCAAAATTTGGCATTCCACTCTATAAATTTTGCTCACTTTCATCTCCGCTTTGCATTTAGCTTGAATAACGTAAAACTCCTTCACAAACTTCTATTTTAAAAATAAAATGCTCACGAAACATTTTTGCAGCTTTACTGTGAAGGCTTAAAAAGTTTAAAGAAACATCAGGCGCAATTTTGCTGTTCACTAACTCGCAGTATTCCATGATGTTACTCACATCGAATCCATTCTTTAAAAAAAATCAATGTTTTTCTACAAAAACTAACGTAAAATAATTTGCGCGTGTAAAATATCGAACAACAACAACTTCCATTCGTTTAGCATTGCGCGATGGTAAATGTTATTCCTACTAAAATTTTCGAAGTGGAAGTAGTTGTGTTTTTTTTTATATTATACCCAATTACGTTAAAATATTTTTTTTTTGTCTTCAAATCATTACAAACTGAAGTGAAGTCAGCATTGCTTACTTCATTCCAGTAAATAAATGTGATTTCAGAACGTACAGAACTGGTATAGTTTTAGAATATTCTTCTTTTTCATAGAATAGTATATATTTCTGTATCTATATAATTCGAGAAACAACAGTAAAGAATCATCCGAATTACTTGAAATTGTATAATTTGTGTTGATTATTAATAAATTTTTATCGTTTATTTGGTAAGTATTTTTTAGTTACGAATGATAAATTTCAACTGGAATTCAGCTATTTTGTTTTTAAGTTACATATTGAAATTTATATCGAGATCTTGAAATTATAAAATTTTATTGTGTGGTACGTTATCTTAAAGTAATGAAGGGATAATCTATGTACAGTCAACCCTCCTATAACGCGGTACTNTCTCTCAAAATTTGGCATTCCACTCTATAAATTTTGCTCACTTTCATCTCCGCTTTGCATTTAGCTTGAATAACGTAAAACTCCTTCACAAACTTCTATTTTAAAAATAAAATGCTCACGAAGCATTTTTGCAGCTTTACTGTGAAGGGTTAAAAAGTTTAAAGAAACATCAGGAGCAATTTTACTGTTCACTAACTCGCAATATTCCATAATGTTACTCACATCGAATCCTATCAACCTTAATGGAATTCTCTCAATAGAATCCATTCCTAAAAAAATATCAATGTTTTTCTACAAAAAATAACGTAAAATAATTTGCGCATGTAAAATATCGAGCAACAATAACTAACACAACTAAATAAACAACAACAACTGAAACAAATAACAACAACTACTAATAACAACAACTAAATTCCATTCGTTTAGCATTGCGTCAGGTGTTGTTCCTACTAAGTGGAAGTAGAAATAACAAATAACAACAACTACTAATAACAACTAAATTCCATTCGTTTAACATTGCGTCATGTGTTGTTCCTACTAAGTGGAAGTAGAAATTTGGCTAAATCTTTTCATGCTAGCTCTTTTGTTACAAGCGTTTGATTTTGTGATAGACATAGTTAGTAAAGTTTGTTTGTTAGTTAATTTGAGGGTAGTCATAGTTAGCAACAAAAAAGACATTTCGGATAGATAATATGATGAGTAATAATTACAAGGCTACAGAGTTGAATCTCAGCAGTTGTAAATAGGATCGGTTAGTAAAATCTCCGTTATTTTATTTCTCTAATGTTGTCAGGTATGCTCTATTGTCGGAACCATCACAACTCTGATAGTGATGTATGCATTTAATTTTAAAATGATCATTTAATAAATGTTTTTTTTTGGAATATAATATTCATTTGTTATAAGTATAAATATATTCATTAAAAAATTTCCCTTTAAAACTGGATTTTTTTTATTTTTTGATAAATCACATATTCAAAGCTGGATTCAATCGTGAATTCTTACTTTATCTCATTTTTTTGTTGATAGTATTAGTATATAATGGGAAATAGGTTTATTTTTGCATGCATATAATGCATATTTTTCTACCTATGCATTGTTTTTTTTATGTAACAGCAAAAATCTTTTCCTTTTTCTCTCTTTCAATTTTAAAGAATTTTAGAAAGGGAACTGAGAAAATGGAAAAATATTGTGAATAATTTCTTCAAGATAAATATTGCCGAAATATTTCAAGTAGAATACAAGCATTGAAGATAAAGAATAACTGTGGCATAATAATTTTTTTTTTTTTTTGTATTATGCCACACAGTCATTATTTATCTTAACAACACATTCTAGTTATAGTTACTCTGTTTTCTACAGTCAGCCTGTGGACACTGTTACCAGTAAAACACTGAAGTCAAGCATGACTGGCTCTGTATTATGTTTGAAGTGTTTAATTTATCTTCATCTCTAAAAAAGAATCTTATGAAACAGAATCCTGCATGGGTTGAGCCAATAATTTTGTTGGTTACATAGTTTAAAATTTGTTTTTAAACTTTCTTGTTTGCCAGTCGCATCCTTGTTATCAAGATAAGAGTTAAGATTTGATATAAATGCTGTAGATAAGAGAATGGAAATTTATATTGCTGTAAACAAGAGTGACCACTTTTGTTTCAACAAAATTAATGTTTTTTTTTTTTTTTTATAATTTCAATAAATTTAATCTTTGTCTCTCAAAAATGTCTCCTTCTACAAGTGTGGACATTGGTCCAGATGACGGAGCCACAAGTAGTCCTGAAGTTGATGTTGTGTCTGCTTTGTTGGCTGTCAATACGGCTCTGGAAGAAGAGCTAAAAAGTCTTCAGATTAAAATTTCATCAAGCCTTTTCAGAGTTGATGCCATTCCAGATGATGTTCATATGAGAGCTGTCAGCGGATTCTCTAGAAATATTTTTCACACTGTTTTTTCATTCCTTTGCCTAAATAACTGCACGAAATATGTTAATAACCTGTCTCCTATTAATCAGTTTTTTCTTTTTCTTGTTTATCTTCGTACTGGTGTATCCCAGAACTTTTTATCTATTCTATTTCAGATTCACCAAACAACTGTTTCTAAAGTTATTAACCATCAATCCCATATTATTTTTTCTAAATTAAAATCTGTTGATATCTGGCCTTCTCGTGAATCTGTTAATAAAAGCATGCCTTTAATTTTAAAAAGATTTCCTAAATGTCGCGCAATAATTGATTGTACAGAATTTCCTATCCAACAACCATCTAGTCCTCTTCTTCAACAACAGACCTTTAGTCATTATAAAAATACTAACACCCTAAAAGCTTTAATTGGCATAACTCCTTCCGGTGCCATCTCCTTCATATCTGATCTCTGGGGTGGCTCAATTTCTGATAAGGAATTATTCCTTAAATCTAAATTACTGGAAAAATTAGAGAAAGAAAACCTTATATTGGCAGATAAAGGCTTCAAGATAAGCAAAGAGTTGGAAGAAAAAGGCTGCCAATTTGTTACGCCCCATTATTTAGTGGACAAAATTCAATTTTCTCCTATGGAACTGGGCGAAAATAAGGTAGTATCAAATCACCGAATCCAAGTAGAAAGGGCCATAAGCCGAATTAAAACGTATAAAATTATTGAAGGGAAAACTTTGGCCCGCCATTGGGACATTGTGAACGAATTCTTTTTCATTGTTGCTTTTTTTGCCAACTTTGGAAACCCATTAATAAATTTACAGAATTATTAAAAAAAAATCAATTTTATTGTATATATTTTGTTGTATTATTCATTTATTATATTTTATCTGTATATATTGTATTTTGCTGTATTATCCTTTATTAATTTTATCTGTATATATTGTATTTTGTTGTTTTGTATATATTAAATCATGGAGTCTAGAGTATCATATGGAGACTGTATATACAACTCCAATTCAAAATATTAGAATAACCAAAAAAGGCATTGTATTACCTTATAAAATGCGTGATATCTTTAAAAATAAACAACGGTGGCGAACGGAAAAATTATTAACCGTCCACACGCGCCTAAAGAAGTATTAGAGATTATTAACTCTTCAATTGAGAAAAATTTGCCGGAAAAGATGCGCATTTTTTATTTGTTGGCTAAATATAAATAATTTGAAGCCTTCTTATGCTATTAATAAATTTTAAGCAAAGAGTGGGCAATACTAGCGATAGCAAGAAATACGCATAGAAAAGTTAAGCAGAAGTTTGATTGCTAGTGAGAAAGGGGAGAATAAGTTTTTTTTGAATAGATGAAGTTGGAACATGNAATACTAGCGATAGCAAGAAATACGCATAGAAAAGTTAAGCAGAAGTTTGCATGCTAGTGAGAAAAGGGAGAATAAGTTTTTTTTTGAATAGATGAAGTTGGAACATGTGGAGAAATGTCATGGTTGAAGACGGCAAGAAACGAGAATTTTATATTACGACAAATGCTGTATTGAGATCTTCTAAATGTTCAAATTCTTTTTTAATTTTGAAATTACTTCAAGTCAAACAGATTTACGTATCTGTACCATCAAAAATAACTAGTTTTTCTGAACAGTTACTGCAGGCCTTGACGGCAAGTCCTGACANATGATAAATCATGAAAATAGAGGCAAATAAATTCTCCAGCACAGGATTAAATTAACATATCATTTTATTTAGTAACATACATCTACCAACACAAGAAAGGGATTTTATTGAAATGGGTGACGGGAAAATTAAAACACAGAAGGCGTCATAGATAAAAGTAAAATATAAAAGAACGAGTAATTTTAAGGTTAAAATAAATATGAAAAGAAAACTTAAATTTGAGAGGGCTTTTAATGTTAAAGAAAATTAAGGGTATAAATGTTGATTTTACATTTTACAGAAAATGATTACAGCTTTGGATTTAATTTCAAGTAAAGATTAAGAAAAAATGTCAAAAGAAATCCCTCGATACGGACCGAAGTCTGCATCTCGAAAAAAAAGGGTAACCTGCCCGAATGCTCGAGAAAAAGAGAATGTATTCCAAGTGACTTAAAAATTCCTTAACTGGTATAGGACCAGAGAAATTACGACCAATTAAAATTTAAAGAGACGGAGAGTTTGAAATTTAAAGGAACGAGATTGGTTAGCTAGCCCCCCTAGAATTAAAGGAAGAAAAAGAAAGGCATGAATAGAGGGGTTGGTTTACTTTCCCCACAGTAAGTGCGATGACCGCAATGACCATGAGAAAGGTCAACAAGAAAGTTGAAAATAAAAAATTGCTAAATTGTAAAAAAGGAATAACGTTTAAAGAAAAATTAAAGCTTAGGTAAAATTAGATATTAAATTGTCACATTACATTAAATGTAAATGTGACAATGTAGTTATCCAGCATATTAGTCCAAATTTAAAGATTGATATATATATTTTTTTTTAAATGTTAAAAGTGTTTCATTGTTTCAGTCATGTTATCCTAAACGTTTTAGGCTTGCCTTTTTTTATACAGAAATTTATTATTATTTTTTTGACAATGTAGTTTATTAAAAGTTGTTAAAGCTTCTAAAATTAACTATTTGAACAGAGCCAGAGTTTACTAAAAAATTGCATCAAACGACAATAAAAGCATAATTTTTATTTAAAAAGTATTAAGAGAAAAACATTTTTAATACAGTTCTTTCAAAGTGTAACATTCAATTAATTAAAATCAATAGCTATTCAATTGAATTTATAATTGATTTTTATTTTATGTTTGTTTAATTTTTGAACTACTAAAATAGCATTTAACTTTGTGAATTTGTTTTAGAAAAATGTAAAAAAAGGAAATAATGTCTGAAAGATAACTTTCACCAAAGAAAGATTCTTTTACCAAAAAAATAAATTTATAAATGTTTGTTTTTGCATGATTTATATTTAGCCCTGAGAAAATTCTATAACATCACTATAAAACAGAGTCTCAAAAATAAAAACCAAGCAATATTTAATAATAATTTTGACATGTCTGAAATAATAAAAATGAAATTGGCACATAATTTTATAGGTTCGTTTCAAAAAATTTCTATAAAATAATAATCAAAAACTGTATCTCAAAAGAATATATTGGCCTGCTTTATCTTACATAATTTCTTTGAAATCACTGAAAAATCAATAGAATGAATGGTTTCTCTTTTACATGTACAATTCCATTTTAAAAATAAATTTTAAAAAAAGGAAAAATTGTGAAAATTTTAAATTAGAAACTAAAACATCTATGCGATGAAATTTGAAATAGTTGGAAGTGCCTAGTAATATAAATTACATATGTACGGAACAGAAACTCATAATATATGCAAGTATAATAAAATTTAAATCAACATTATAAAATATTTAAAAGGCCAAGTCTTGAAAAATATAGACACGTTGAATAAAACAACTTATGCACCTATATTAATAGCAATCGCAAGTAAACTGGCCACTATTTCACAACACAATTACATTTAATGAAACAATAGTACCTTTGAAGAAGTTACTTAGAAACTCCATGTCATCCCTTCCACAAGCCACACCATATAAGTGTCTGCAAGATTAACAAAAAACCTCAAGTCATAAGGGAATAAAGATTACAGCCAATTTTGCAAAGGAAAGGACATCGTACTCAAAAACTTGGAAATTTAATTATTTCTAAAGAAGTCTCTGGCGTTAGCAAGAACTTTTTGCAGTTAAACTTAAAAGGTCTTCTAAATACAATTTGTCGACAAAATTTACTCAAATTAAGAAGAAGAAAAAAATTCCACAATTAAAAAAAAAAAAATATTCTTAAACAGCCCATTGCATTCTTTACTTGAATGCAATGTATTACTAAACATAAATTAACTAGACTTAGAGTGATGCAAAAATATTTCTCTTAAACATAACAATGCCACTAAACCATACATTCAATTCAATTCAATTCTTAAACATGACAACGCTATTCACTATTATTTTCAAATGCCTAACTGAACCAGACTTAAAAATTAATGATCTTGCTTGAAACTCGTAACATATTATCGATAAAACAGATGGGTCTCCTTAAATTAGTCTTATTATGTAAATTCTTAGAAAAACTAATAGATGTTTGACTAATTCATTCGTTTGAGAGTTGCAACATTTTACTTGATGGAGAGCGCAAATGCTGTTCGACACCAGATATTTTGCAACGCGAAGCATAACTAATACAGGTTTTTCTACAAAAACATATAGTCCATGCCTTTTTTGCTTAAAAAACTTATGAATAGACACGTTATTTTGAAATTTTAAAAGAAATAGTGATGTAATCAAATGAAATTTATCGTACATTTTTCTCCAAGGAGAAGGCGTTTTTCGGCGAGGCATCATAAGTGTCACTTTGTTCTAAATTAAAATTAACCAGCTTTTCACTAAAAATATCAATAATGCTGAGTTGTTGGTTGATAATTTTCGGTTATAACTCTTGGATCACTATCGGAAGACAACTATAACATAATAATCAATAAAGTGTTAGATTGCATAAATATGAACGGTTTTCTGATGAGTAAGTTTTTGCAAGAAACGAAATATTTATCATGATTCTGACATAAAGAGTTATCGAAGGGTTCCTACAGGAGCAACGCAATATGCAATACCAGAAGAAAGCGGATGGTAAAAAAATGAAATGCATAAAAACCTTTTACTGCCATCTCTTATGTGGTATTTTATAATAAAAAATTCATTGCTTAATTAACGTTTGTTTTCAAAGAACAATTTGTTTAACACAAGGGAATAAGATAGAGAGAGAGAAAAAAATTAACTATTTCCATTTCAATGTTAAATCAATCCTTGCCTGAATAATATGCTTTTCTTCGCAGTTTTATCATTTCAATCTAAAGGAAAGTAATCAATGCAGATGAAAGTAATGTACAACATTTGTTTTAATCATTAATAATCGGTTCTTAATGTTATTAGTTGAAAAAATTCATTTATTTTATTGTTTATTTATAATTCATGTATTTTCTTATCTCATGTACTATTCAGCATAATTGTTACATCACTTGAATAATTTTCCTATATTTATGTTTAGGAAGAAGAGTAATAAAAAAAGAGGCTGTACCTACAAAGTTCAGTTTCATTCCCCCAAAGTGTGACAAGAAACAAACCTCATATCAGTTTCAGTGAGTAAAAACACATGAATGCTTAATTAATAAAATAATTTTAGTTTAGTATCAGTGTTGCAGTAATATAGGAGTTTCCTCATCGGAAGGCGAACACTATCATACCTGCCAAGTCTCCTGTATTTTATGACTATCTCCTGGTTACCTGTATATTCACGAATGTCTCTGTAGTTGTTGAAGAATACAAAAAAGAAAAGTAATGTTGATAAAATATCCATTGGTGGAAAAAATACTTCTCTTATTCCTCAACAAATATTGCTATTTCCAGTATTGCAGTATGTTGAGTGTTAATTGTTTAAGTTGAGGTGTGATGGCCCAGGGGATAGAGCATTCGCCTTTCAATGGGGTGAACCGAGTTTGAATCCCAGCGATGATTGGTCGATACGAATTCTGCAACCAGCCAGCTTGTACTGACCACAGTCCTGACATGAAATGTTTCTAGTGGAAGATGGACCATAGATTATAGTCCCCTTGCTGTCAGGCTAATTGTGTAAGGTTTTCATCTTTGTGTAACTCAAATGCGGATTTGTTATAAGTATAAATATATTCATTAAAAAATTTCCCTTTAAAACTGGATTTTTTTTATTTTTTGATAAACCACATATTCAAAGCTGGATTCAATCGTGAATTCTTACTTTATCTCATTTTTTTGTTGATAGTACAGTACAGAACCCGTTATCCGGAAATCAAAAAACCGGAAAACCAAAAAACCGGAACGGAATTCGATAAATTTTCGCGCCATTTAAAAAAATAAATTTTTTTTTCCTCATAAGATTTTAGGTTTTTTTTCTTTCCTTTTTTGAAAGATGTTTACCCTACCATCATTTTGGAAATAATCATTAGTGTATTCCTTCATCGTTTTTTCTTCTTTTTAAGATTATTTCCAAAAAAAATTTTTTTTGTTGTTGTGTTTAA